ATTCAATCGGGCGCCGGAGACCAAGACACCCCACCAAAGCTTTGGTGATTCAATCGGGTGCCGGAGACCAAGATTCAATCGGGCGCCGGAGACCAAGACACCCCACCAAAGCTTTGGTGATTCAATCGGGCGCCAGAGACCAAGACACCCCGCCAAAGCTTTGGTGATTCAATCGGGCGCCGGAGACCAAGACACCCCACAAAAGCTTTCGTGCTTCAATCGTCGGGTGGCCTAGATACCCCACCAAAACTTTGCCCTACAATTCTTGGGATTCGATCAGTTTTGTTGGTCTTTGCTAAAGAACAATTGTTTTATTGAGGACTTTTACATCAGGTCAACCATTTGTTGGTCCATGGTCTTTGAAGGCTGGGGTTTGGTGTCGACCAACCGGCTGCCGGAGACTGAGACAACTCCCCAAAGCTTTGGTGTTTCAGTCCAAACCAATTTCCCCTTGAAAGGAAGGTGAAGGATTGATCACCCCCTCTGCTGATCTTCGGCTCTCAGTGGTGCCCGGACGGTTCTTTTGTGAACGAATTGCCATGGCAGTTGCCCACGTGGTGTTTGGAGGTCGATGATCAATGATATACGATGTGGGAGGGCTCCAACGAGCTGACTAGATCTATACTAATGTCTGATCCTATTCGGTTTGGTCTGGGGTTTGGTGTCGACCAAACCATGCAGGGCAGCGCTTGACCTCTGCTGTTAGTCTGCTGTTGGTCGAAAGTCTCGACAAGACATCTTGAGACCCAATTCAATCTCCAAAAGATGCACACCCACCGGTGCAAAGGATTTGCTGATACTTCCTGCAGTATCAGTAGAGCTTCAGGTTCGGTGCAAAACCCACAACCATCTTCGACCGCCGACCGTGACCAAAATGGGCCTTCACGCAGGCATACGAATTTCGCTCGACTTCCCCCCTTCCCCGACCTTCTCGCGCTCGCAGCTCGTTCTTTTGGGGTCAGGCTCTCTCGACAGCGGGTCCTTTCGACCGCGGCTCATGATCGCCTCTTGTCCCAAGCACAGCATCATGGCCTCGGCGGCGCGGATCGCCCCGTGGTTTCCTGGCGGATTTGTTTGTCGAGCAACATCCGCCGTTTTGTTTGTCCAGTGCTCACCAACTGACCATGAGCACTTGCAATGAACTTGCAGCGTCTTAGCTGGAGGAACCTTGCACTCTAGCACTTTGACCGCAGGTCCTTCCAAACAAAATGGGTGCGGGTCAAAACCCGGAGCCCGCTTCACCCACCGCAAAATCAAGGAAGTATGCTAAGACATGTTTTGCTGGCCTTTGTCGGCTCCAGAGTTCTACCACCGTTCATTCTACGAGTACTATATATAGACAGGTTTCCTCTCGTCTAGTTCGATGCTTATAGAATCTTATAGAGCCCTATACCATTGTTCCCGCGAATCAAGGCTCTGTAAAGCAAAATGCAATTCTCATTCCTTAAAATCACTTCAACGGCCTTTGCAAAGCAACAGTCGGGGTGGTGTGCGGGTGTGTGGCTCCTCACCCTTGACATGGAGCATCACATTTCTTTCAGTTGGGCTCCCAAAAACAATTTCCAAATGTTTCAACTTGTTCCGACCAGTGACATACGATCTTGGGGCCGAAAGCCCTTTCTCTTCCAGCAATCGGCGCAAAGCTTCTTGAACCTCGACAGTGGGATCTCAGTGATGGTGTATTGGGAGACCCCGTCGATGCACTGAGAACCTGAACACAGGGAAGGTTCATGGGTTCCACGACTCCAATGTTTCAGGGGTCCGACAGGTCGCTCTTGCGGTGCCAAAACTCCGACAATCATGACCTCGCTCTTGCGGTGGAATTATTTGGATTATGCCCCCTCCTCCACAAGGAACCCAATAATTTTTTCATCTTCTGAAGATAAACTTCATGGATGAACATGCAACCATC